TCCAGCTCATTGAAAAAGGTTCCCTTTCTCCATTGGCACCTGGGTCAAGGATCAGTTGCACATGTAGGTGCACACCTGCTTCCGGGCTGTCTGGTCAGGTCTCTCTGTCCGTTCACCTTCCCTCTTGCCCATATCACACCGTCTTAATTACCGCTGCATTTGGAGACACTTCCCAGCAGGTCATGTATTGCCTCTGAGTGTGTGTCTCTTTAGGGAAACACCAGCACACCTTCCCTTGCCTCCTGTGGGCCAGGACGACCTCAGATGCCATTCCAGCCCCATCACGGGTAAGGAGAGGGCGGCAGGGCTGACCTAGGCCATCAGGCTTCCCCTTGGAGAGATTGGGGTGACTTCCCCAAGTCATGTAGAAGAAGAGTAGACCCCTGAACCAGAAAGTCAGGGGGGAGCCAGACTTTTCAAGAAGTTGGGGGGAGGCTGCATGTAAGAAACCAATAAGGTGTACCAAAGTGGACAAAATGACTGCATGTCATTCTTAATGGCCACCAGTGACAACAAGGCATAGGACTCAGCACAAGTCGTGAGTGCTGACCCCGGCTGGTGACAGCATCTGGGGCTCGGTGGCACATGGGCCCTGTCCCGGCGACTTGGGCCAGGCCAGTGGGGGGAGTGGGTCTAGAGCTGTTGACACATCACTCATCTGCTTGTTTGTGCTCGAAAACAGGGGCTGGGCAATGGTTCCATGTCCCTGGGGCTGCTCAAGTATTTCTTGGGATGGCCTCAAACCATTCCTGGTGGTGCATGTGACTTGGAGGCCGCCTCCACCGGGACCTGGGTCCAGCCGTAAATCACTCAAGCGCCCTGCGGCTTGGACCCTGCTCCGCACAGTTGCTCAGAGGTTGACTCCCAGCTCTTCCTGGTCCTCAGTAGCTCCATCTGCCCAGATTATCTGTCAGTTCCCAGTGTCCCTGTGGGCCCTGTCCTCCCGGGCCCTCACTTAGCGCCTCATCTCCTCCCTAGGAGGGAGAAACAAGGCTTTGAGAGAATCCCTGAGTCTCAGCCCTTGGCAGGTGTCTGTAGAAGGACGGGCAGATGTGCCTGCCTGTCTGCGTGCCTGTTTCTCTCCCTCAGGCTGCCCGGCAGTTTGGGTCAATATGGGTAGGATGTGGCTTTACGAGGTTTTGTATCTGAAACCTGAGCCTGAGTCCAGGCTGAGGAGCTGCTCACGCTCCCCATAGGCTCTAGAAGTCCTGCTGGCCGGGGACCCTCATATTTCTGGGGCGGTGTGTAGTGCTGGCTCACAGGCACCGGGAAAAGGCAGACTTGGAGGCTGAAGCCAGCCTGGACACAGGCCACCCCCTCTCTGAGCCTCAGTTTCCTCATCTGTTATGGGAAGAGTAAATGTTGGCCTTCCCTCTTGCCCATATCACGCCGTCGTAATTACCGCTGCATTTGGAGACACTTCCCAGCAGGTCATGTAATGCCTCTGTTAGTATTTGTTATTATTTCTGTTAGTATTTTGACTCTTTTTTTTTTTAAAGATTTATTTATTTATGCATACAAGAGCTGGGGTGCAGCCAGAGGTGCAGGGGCTGAGAGGACTCACCTGAGACAGAGTGGGTTGCAGAACAGGCAGATCTACTGAAATGCACTGCAGAGGGGAGCAGCCAGGAAACAGGAGAGGTCTGCTGCACCATGTAGGTAGCTCCCTGGCTGGGGATCGAACTCGTGCTGCAGTGGCTGCAGGTTACTCGATAGCGCTGAGACTTAACCCCTGTGCCACCAGGGAGGCCCAGTATTTTGATTCTTTTGGGGAAACGAGCAGAGGCAAGAGGGCTGGGTGAGACAGGGGAGAGAAGGGACCAGGGGCAGGAGACGTGTATCTAGGGAGGGGCATGGGCAGCCCTGCTGTTAGGAAGGGGCCACTTTCCTCTGACAGGCCGAATGTCCAGAGCCCTGGGTTCTGATCCGGCCCCTCAGCTGGTCTTGGGTTCCCCAAGGAGACACAACAGGGCAGAGTCTCCATGCCGAGGCTGTCTGGTGGGGAGAACAGCAGCACCGCATTCTCCTGTCAAGTGGCCGGGCCAGGCCCGGGGAGCTCGCCAGGGTACACACGTGGTATGTCAGGAGACAAATGGCTCCACCGAGACCACTGCTTCTGGAAATGGGGGAAAAATGTGGATTATCTTAAGTTTAAAAGTATGTGTTCCCAGGTGGCTTGGAAAGCCGAGGTGGAGGGGTGGAAACTGATGGATGAGCTCGGTTGTGCTCTGGCGGGCAGCTCGGGCCTGGCTCACTCAGACAGCCTTGGTCACCTGGTTGGGGTGTCCAGGCTTGGGGCAGGACCCCTGACCCCCAGGATGGGATGACGGGTGCCTGTCGAATGCCCCTTCCATGGCAGCTGGGGGAGACTTTGCCACCAAGAACTCAGACATTCTCCTGAGTCCTTCCTCGTCTCCAGGGCCCCCTGGAGGTGGTTGCAGCCTGGTGAGGCCCAAGAACCATTTGGGGTCATCTTGTGAGCCCCTCCATTTCAAATAATTCTGCAAACGGGGAGACCCAGGGCCAGAGATGGGGAGGGCCTTGCTCAAGGTGACAGCTATTTCAGGACCCAAAGCCATGATCCCACGCACCCTGAGGATCAGGCCAGGGAGAAACCCCTTACTTTCTGGGACCAGCACTTACGTGCGCGGGGAGGGGGCATGGCTTCTTGCGGGTCCCTCTGAACTTCCGCCATGTCACCTTTCTGAAACGCAAACTGACCTGACACCCTCTAAGGCTCCCCAGCCTTTGGAGAAGCCCCACCCTCTGCGGCCTGGAGAGGAGCCTTGGTGATCTGGCCTTTGTCTCCTCCTCCACCACCTTCCGCTCGCCCGGGGTCAGCAGCGGGTCCTGGCCTTTGCACATGCTGTTCCCGCTCCTCCGATGCCCTTCCTCTCTGCCTCTGTAAGCCTCATCAGGCCGACTCCGTGGCCTCCTCTGACCCCTGAGCTTCCTCCAGTCCTTCCTCTGGGCTCCCAAAGCTCTTGGTAATTCCTCCATTAGCACTTATCTCATTGACTTAGAATTACTTGTTTGTGGCCTCTTCTCCCCAGGGCAGGAAGCACGCAGGGTACGTGTCTTTACGTTCACCGCCCGCAGCCGCGTGTGCAGAGGGCCTGACACCCAGTGCAGGCGCAGTCAGTGCTGTGGACTGAAGGCCCGAAGGCCCCCTCTGTCCCAAGGCCCCGTGCCCCGTGCCTGAATTGTCACCAGCTGGGAGCCCTGCCTGGTTCCTGGCTCCTGTTCGCTTTTGCGTTCCACAGCTGGGGCCTCTCTCCCTCTCCAGCGGCTGGCCCAGCCCTGCCCAGACTCCTGGGCCAATCAGCCTTAGCCCGGGGAGATTGAAAGAGCCCTTGGTCGGCCGCGCAGGTGACTCTTCCCGTGAGCTCGGCTGCCACCAGAGGCCCGGCCCTCCTCCTGCCAGAGCCTGACCCTTGGTCTAGAACTGGGTCCTTGAGGACATGTGCTCCCCTCCTCCGGCCAGTGCCCAGCTACCAGATTCTCTGACACCTTCTGGTCCATTCCGATGGCAACCCTTCCTTGGGCACCTGCCAAGGGCCCGGCACCGGTCCTGCTGCCACAGTCACTGCCGGGGTGGGAGGGCAGCCCTACGGAGAGGACACTGGTGATAGAGAGTAGTGACCTTCAACTCAAAGGGTTGTACAATAGAGTTATAGGGCAAGAGGCCAAAGAAGCCTCATGGCGGGGTGTGAGCTGCGACTGCAAGGAGGGGCAGGAGGTGTGGGGTGAGGGACTCTGGAGGGGCAGGAGCTGGAGAAATCACCCTGCCCGCAGCACAGACCCAGTGCCCTCACTGGCTGTGTCCAGGCTGCCCACCCTGTCCTGGGCTCATACTATTTCTAGGGGAGGGACCGAGAGGAGAGGGGAGCAGGCTTCCTCTCAGTCATGGCCCCCTAAACAGGCAGGCCCACGAAAGCTGTCTCTTCAATTATTCAAGCAGCCTCAGTGAGCCACCCCCCCCTCTCCCGCCCTCCCCGTGTGCCAGGTGCCAGGTTGGGTACTGGAGTGTGACTTGGGGACCCAAGACAGCCCTGCCCTCGAGGGCCTGCAGGCCAGCAGGGGGAGAGAAGGCTTTAGTAGAAAGACCCCCCCACACAGCCCGCCATGAGCAGTGGTGGCAGGAGAAGCACCGTTGGGGAGCGAAGGGCAACCACGGGCGGCACCTCATCTGTGTCCCCCACCTTCACCTGCAATCCAGGGATGGGGTGGGGTGGGCGCGCAGAGGGTGGTCCCCATCCTTGGGAGTCTCATCCACGACCCGTGACAGTGTCTGGTGACGCTGAGGGAGGCAGCAGAGCCGGGGCTTTGGGGTCACACCAGCTCTGGCCTCTGACCCGTCTCCACTGGAGAGCCGAGCAGCCAGGCAGGTGCCCACCCGGCTGAGGCTCTTTCTGCTCATCTGTCAAATGGGCTGGAGGTTCCTGCCGCCCTCGGGGAGCACAGCAAGCATTCAAGGAGCGAGTAACTGCTCAAGGCTTAGCACACAGTAGGTGCTCAGCTTACAGGGCTTGGTTATACCACAGTAATTACCATGTGATCCCCACAAAAAAGTGAGAGAGAGAGAGAAGTCTCGGGGGCAGGCTGAGTGCAGCGAGTCCCTAAAGACAGGGCCCTCGTGCCCAGGTCTGGGGCGGGGGTCGCCGGGCGCTCCCTCCCCCCGCGGGCCGAGGCGGAGGCGCAGGTGTCGCTGCGCCCCGCGCACCCCCATCCCATCCCGCCGCTGGGCCGCGCCCCAGCTCGCCCGCGTCCTCCCCTAACCTCGGGTCTGGACGGCGCGGCCGGCCGGCGGGGCGGGAGAGTTTGAGTCACCAGGGGGGAGTGGAGGGGGCGGGCGTGACCCCGAGCGAGCGGGGTGGGCTCCAGGGCCCGCCTCGGGCTCCCAGCAGGGGGACCCCGCGCGAGCCCCTGTCCCGAGCAGGCGGCGCGCCCAGGACCGGCTGCCGACGCGACCCGCGGGCTCTCCGGCCGCTCCCAGCACGATGCCCGCCGCGCGCCTCCTGCGGCTGCTGCTGGCGCTCTGGGCGGCGGGGGCCGGCGCGCCCCGGACCCCGACCCGGCTGGCCGCGACCCCCGGGGACGCCACCCTGGCCTTCGTCTTCGACGTGACCGGCTCCATGTGGGACGACCTGCTGCAGGTGATCGACGGCGCCTCGCGCATCCTGGAGCGCAGCCTGGACGGCCGCGCCGTCTCCAACTACGCGCTGGTGCCCTTCCACGACCCAGGTAGCGCCCCGGCCCGCCCCGCGCGGCCCGCGCCACCTGCCCGCCCCGCCAGCCCGGGCGGGGCCGCCCCGCTCCCCGGTGCCCTCGCCCGCTGCTCCCCGAGGGCCCCGCAGGCCTCCCGGGGCCGCCCCGCTCCCGGGGCTCCCGGCCGGCCGCGCTCCCCTCCCGGCCCGGCCGGCGGCCTCAGCAACGGGGCTCACCCCTCCCGCCCCGCCTTCGGGCTCTGAAACGCGGGGACAGGCGGGGACAGGCGCTCCGCGGGGCGAGACCTGGAACCAGAGCGAGGAGCCTGGCCCGGGTTTGCTTTTTGACTTTTCGTAATTCCTGGAACCCAGTCCCAGCCCGGACCCCGCAGGCCAGACCTGCCCCCAGCGGCGGGGGGTGGGGGGGACCCCCTCACCTGTCCCCCGCTGGCCAGTCCCGCCCCGCCCCCAACCCCGCAGGCGGCGCCCCTAGTCCCTGGAGCCCTTTCCTTGGGCGCAGCGCTAGGGGCTTGGCCGTGAGGGGGGTGTCTGGGAGACCCCGCCGGGGGTTTTCAGGGAGAAGGCTGCTGAGAAGCTGCAGACTCCCCACTTCTGAGCGTCGGGGCCGCTTTCTTCCCAGTATTTTCTCATGGAAATTTCACGCAGCAAAGCAGGGAGACAGTTCGCTGGTTGACGGTCCCCCCTGCTAGACCCTGGCGCCCGGGCTGGCTGTGCACCCCTCCACGCTGCATAGTTTAATGAAGCCGAAAGATAGTATGGAGACGACAGGCTCCTTGTAAAATGGTTCTGGAAAGTACTGCCCGGGCTCCATGAGCGGGAGCCCTTCCTGAGGACTGGCCTTCCCGATCAGCATCACAGCAGAGTGGAGCCGCAGGGCTGGGCTGGGCTGGACCCCAGGCTGCGTTTGGGCACAGGGGCTGGGGGACCCTCTGCTTCCAGGATTTCTGGTCTCAAAGTCCAGGAGCCAGAGGTCTAGACCCCACCCCCTGGGGCTGGGGGCAACACGGTTAAGGGGGTCCTGAAGATGTGTGTGTCCCGGGGCTTCAGCTCGAGCAAAGGTCGCGCTCCCCTCTGCCCGCCTCTCTCCCTCCCTTTCGGGGTCATCTTCAGGCTTCCAGAGATTTCACCTTGCGGGAGCCTAGAGCTCATCTAATTCCCCTCCCCTTCCATTTGGAGAAACTGAGGCTCAGGACATGGATGAGACTTACCCAAGGCCACCTGCCAGGTTGATGTAATTTCTGATTCATAACCCATATTTTCTCGAAACGCTTGGCTGCACTGCAGGGCAGGGGCGCAGCCTGTTGGAGAGCTGGACATAGCGTCCCGGGGCCCAGGCGGGGCTCCTTAGGGGGGTCCTCACTGTCCCTCTCGGCTGTCAACCTTGAAGCCCTCCTTCCAGACCTTTCCTCTCCTCTCTCCTCCCATCGGGACACATAACCCCCGTCCTTCTCCCCAATTCCACACCCAGGCGCCGACAACCTGCTGGAAACAGGCCAGGCAGAGAGCAGAGACAGTCCCTGTGGGCTTAGGGGCCCGCGTCTGGCCGTCACCAGGAGGAAGCGTGGACTGGGACTTGTGGGGCATGAAGGAAGGCCCGTGAGGTGTGCACCGTTTGCCCAGCTCAGGCTGGGTGCTGGGGATTCAGGGGGCAGCGTCCCCTGGGCGCAGGAGCTCAGTGGGTAGTGTCTGGAGGACAGTCTGGGGGCTGACACGTGGGGACAGATGTGAGGGGGGTGGGGGGCATGGAGAGGCTTGGGAGAGGCCCCGGATCTGGATCCGCAGTGTCTCGGGCACTGAGATTTCCTTCTATGGCTGTGAGCAGCCCCTGACGCTTCCTGGGCAGAGACAGGAGCTGCGCTTTAGCTCTGCCCGTGTCTTTTGAATCAGCCAATGGAATTCCCTTTGGGTGGACGAGGAGCTTGAGAGACAGGGATTTAGTTGACTTTCCCTGCCCCCTCCCCCCTCATCCCAGGGGGTTTCTTAAAGGAAAGCCCCCTGAAGCTCAAGGACCAGTCTCCGCAGGGCAAATATTGGCCATTCTGGACCCCACCTATTTGGAGCTCAGACAGAACCTGGGCTTTAGAAATAGGTTTTAAAGTTTTTAAATGAAAAAAGTGGCATGTTCCCAAACTGGAAAATTAGGATTTTTCTAATGGCTTCATTTTGGCCGAAAATTAGGTTGTTGCCAAAAAAATGTTGCAAAAAAGCGCTCTCGTGTACATTTTTGTTTGCATCTTTGATTGGTTTTTCTGTTGGATTAAGTTTCTGGAAATGGAATTCCTAGACCATTTTCAACACACTGAGTGGGTGGGCGACCCTTAAAATTGTTTTCCAGAATGTTCTGCAAATTTAAACTTCTACCAGAAGCATCGGAGGGGCCCATTTCAGTGCAGCTGTCACGACACTGGGAATTAGGATAAGAACATTTTTTTTTCCTAACTCAAAAAGCTGGAAAAAATAGCTTCCTGATGTAATTGCTAGTGGGCTTCCTTCAGTATGATGTCAAGTGCTCTCTGGATCTTTTCTGAGTGAATTTCTTCTTTTGCAAATTGCTGGTACTTTTGCTCATTCTTCCTTTTTATTGGTTTTCTTATCAGTGTGAGGACTTTGGTGTCTGGTCTTCTGAAGTTTTAAATGTCTAGGTAATGATATCTGTCGACCTTTTCTGCTCGGAAATTTCTTCAGTTATGGGCTGAGGAAGATTTTTTTCCCTATCACAAAATCAGCTAGGTACAATATGTTCTAGGTTTTTTTCATTTGCTTTCTCTCTCTCGCTCCATACTTCATTCTTTAACTTGAAATTTAAAAGAAATTGGTGCATAGTGCAAAACACTAACTTGATTCTTCCAGAATGAGAAAATTAATTGTTCCGTATATTTTATTGAACAGTCCTTTTTTTACTCATTTGGCTGCTGCCTTTATACCAAATTACTTTATCTAATGTGAATTTATCTAGGCTTTCTGTTCAGTTCCATTTTATAACGTTTCTTGTGGCAGGAACACATTGTATCTATTATTGATCTTTAAAAATATATTGAGGGCAAATCCTTCCATCTATATGTATATATACTTGAAACTCCCCAACTTTATTGCGATTGAATTGGCACATAATATTGGGTAAGTTTACGTACACAGGGTATGGATTTGATACACTTCTATTCTGCAAAATGGTAACTACCAGTAGCCCTAACTCACACCTCCATCCTGTCACATAATTATTTCTTTTTTTAAGATCTACCCTCTTAGCAGCTTTCAAGTGTTAAAATCACCATGCTGTTTATGAATTCCCAGAATTTGTTAATCTCATAACTGGAAATTTATACCCTTGACCAACATTTCTCCCCACCCCGGCTAACTAACATTCAACCCTGTTTTTGAGTTTGACTTTTTCCAATTCCACATAAAAGTGACGTTGTTTGTCTTGATTTGCCTGACTTATGTCACTTAGTATAATGCCCTCAAGTTCATCCAAGTGGTCTCAAATACCAGGATTTTCTATGTTTTCATGGCTGAGTAATATTCCTCTATGTTCACACACACCACATCTACTTTATCCATCCACCATCTGTTGATATTTAAAGAAATTAAGGCACTATTCATTTTATTTTTTTATTTTATATATTTTTTGACATCATTTTTCATTTTTGCACAATGTTTGCATTTTCATCTGATAGAATTCCCACCCCCCCTTGTTTTGACCCTAATCCCTCCTTTCTTCCCCTCCCGCATAGTGTATCTCTGGTTTATAGTTGCTTGTTGATTTTGGTTTTTACTTTATTATAATTAGTCTTTTTCCTGGTCCCTTATTTAGGTTTTCTAAATTCCTGCTATGAGTGAGACCATCGGTATTTTTCTTCTTTTTCTTTCTGGCTTATTTCACTGAGCATGATCCCTTCCAGCTCCATCCATGTTGGTGCAAATTGCATGTGTTTATCTTTTTTGATTGTGGAGTAATATTCCATTGTGTATATGTACCACATCTTTTTTTTTTTTAAAGATTTTATTTATTTTATACAAGAACCGGGGTACGGGCCAGATGCACGGGAGGGTGAGAGGATTCACCAGAGACAGAACGGGGAAGAGAACAGGCAGACTGATGAAATACACTGCTGAGGGGAGCAGCGGGCAAGACAGGAGAGGTCTGCTATGCCATGTGGGATTCTTGCCGGCCGGCCGGGATCGAACCCGTGCCGCAGAGGCTGAGGGCAGCCCCACAGTGCAGCGCTCAACCGCCTGCACCACCAGGGAGGTCCCTGTACCACGTCTTCTTGATCCAGTCATCTATTTTTGGGCATTTGGGTTGTTTCCATAGCTCACCTATTGTAAATAGTGCTGCAGTAAAAACAGGGGGTGCAGGTGCCCTTTTAAATTAATGTTTCTGGTTCCTTTAGGTAAATACCTAGGAGTGGAATTGCTGGATCATATGGAAGCTCCATGTTTAGTAGGTTGAGGAATCTCTACACAAGGAACTATTCATTTTAGAGCAGTTTTAGATTTCTAGAATTATTGTGAAGATCACATAAAAAGTTTCCATCTCCCACCACCAGTCTCCCCTACTACTGTCATCTCACAGCACTGTATACACAGACATTGACCACAATGAACAAACTAGTGTGAGCACTTACTATGAAGCAAAGTCTGTAATTTATTTCAATTTCCTCAGTCTCCCCTTAATATTCTTTCCTGCACTAGGGTCCCACCCAGGCTTCCACGTGCCATCTGTGGTCATGTCTGAGGTTCTCTTGGTTGGGACAGTCTCCTTGACTGTTCTTAGTGACCTTGACAATGTGATGAGGACTGTCTGGATCTGTTCTGCAATCATGGTTTGTTGCATGCTTTTCTCCAGTTAGGCTGGGTAATGTGTCTGGGGCCGAAGACCCAGAAGGAGGAGGCCATTCTCATCTATCCATCCTGTCAAGAGCATGTGCTCTGGACATCAACAGTGACTTTGATGTTGATCTTGACCTTGAAAAATGGTTGAGGTTGTCAGGTGTCTCCACCTCAAAGTTATTCTTT